CTCATTATTTGGTTCGAGACGCGATTCGAGACGCGATTCGAGAGTTCAACTGTGACTGTTTGGCTAAGTTGTATGTGATTTAATTGGTAGTTCTTAGTTAGTATTTCTTTTGTGAAGCTCGACTGTCGATAGTTTTTATGCACTTGATATGAAGTATATTTAAAAATCGAATTAAATCGAATTTGTAGCACTAAAAAAATATCTTAGTGGTTCTTAATCTTATTAGAGTCACGGACATCTTTGAGAATCTGATGAAAGCTATGGACTTTTGTACTTTATTCATTGGGATTCAAATGTCTCATACATATATGAGATACATAATGTAAACAGTCTAAAAGGTACACTCCTTTTTCAGCAAAAAGTATAGTGCATATTAATGTTAATTTTTATTTGATCCTCACGGACGCCCTAAAACTCATCCATGGCTCCCAGGTCGAGCACCCGTCCTAGTACATAGTAAATTCCTCTCTGAGTGCTGATTATTATTTTTTTTTTTTTTTTGCTGTGGCTTATGAACACACACAAATACAAATCAGCATTCCTGCATTCTTCTTAGTGTTTGTGTATGTATATATATGCATATATAAATATGTATATATATGTACATGTATGTGTGTGTGTATATATATATATATATATATATATATATATATATATATATATATATGTATGTATGTATTTATATGTATATATATGTATGTATGTATGTATATGTGTGTGTGTGTGTTCAACATCAGCATATTTCACACATAACAATCTGTAAGACTCTACATTCAAGTTAACAAAAAAATGTGCAATTATCCCTTCACAAGCTGTAATTACTATAATTTTCAGAGGCAACCATTTATCATCGCAATTTTCGTATTATGTTACGTTACCCACACACCCGCCTTCTCTCTCCTTCTGTTCTGGTTTCTTTCCTTCTTTTTCCTCTTGTGCCTTTCGTCCACTCTGAATTACTCCATGTGTATGAATGATGTATAAGGAGTGTGATCCATCATCTAGCAACACATGAATGAGTGAATGACAATACCATTAGTCTGCAATAAGGGCAAGGTTATATGGACAATTCTGTGATCTGTATTGGTACAAAACCTTCGTACCTTATAAGAAATTTAGCTTCGATTTGTTCGCATACAACTTTTTAAATGCTATATCTCCGTGGTTTGTTACCCCCCCCAAAAAAAAAAAAAAAAAAAAAAAAAACTCATTCCTTTCGAATTTCAGAGAAGTAGTTGACAAGACTATTAAACTATTTAATACAATTTTGAAAAAAAAAATGAAAATAAATAAAATAAATAATTGTGGTTGATATTCAGGAGGGCTGCATATATTTGCCGTTTGCTGTATTTTCCCCGAAGATTCAGGACAGTAGAAACCCTCCCCCTAAAAATATAATAAATAAATAGTGAATAGATAAAAAGAAAAAAAAAAACTTAAATATCATACTGTATTTTAAGTATCGGCCTTGCCTTTTTACTAATAATCAGCCAGGATCTGTGTGATGGTATATCACTTATCTGTACCCCTATCCATATATTGAAAATCTACTATGCTGAAAACGATCGTGTACAATGAAGACTTAAAAAAATAGACGCGATATTTTTCAACTTCACACCCAACGTCATATTGTGACAACCCTTCATTTTCGTTGTAATTATTGCCATCTTCTATAATTCCCATTTCAAACTGTATTATTTCAGAAATCGGATATAAAAATCTTACAATTTAAAAGAATAACAATTTCAAATGGTTTTAATAAATAAAGTTTTAATAAGTATCTAACACATCAAACGATCCGAACAGGTGGGTGAAACGGTCTCATATTAATTAACCCTTTGTGGACCAGGTAGTTATATATAGCCGGTACAGGTAACAAAGATAAAATGAAAGATGACTTATCTCGGTTAGTTAGAGTCAGAACCGTTACCAACAGGCTAAGTGGACCATTAGCCTACGACCCATTGGCATCTGTGGGGGGGGGGGGTCTGAACCTAAATTCTCGTGCAGATAATCTTGTTTCATAATCCGGCTCGATGGGTATCAACTTCAACAAGACTCTTGATGGTGTCTTGGCTCGTCTCTATCTGTCTGTCTGAGGCTGGGTAATAATAATAATGATATGAAATAAAGAGGAGATATCGGAGAGGAGGGGGGGGAGAGGAGAAGGTAAGTTAGAAATTAAAAGAAGGGGCGAAAACCCCTTGCATAATTGAAATATATATTTACATTTCAGGGGAGGGAGTAAGTTGTATTTGAATTTATTTGTTACAGTAGTGCTGGCCTTTTTTTAATTATTAATAATATATATATATATATATATATATATATATATATATATTTTTTTTTTTTTTTTTTTTAAGATAACTAGATGGCAAAAAGAACTGGGTCACACCGCGCTGTCACGTGCCCTTGTATACGGGTAATCGTTTCCGGCCGTGACCCGCGACATGGCTTAGGTTATTATTAGGACCTCGCAGACAACATGAGGGTCACGTGGCTTGGTCTGTGAGCCAAATAAACTTACATGAATGCCAGAATGAGGTTGAGGGATCAAGTCAGGTCACAGACAGTAGTATAGAGGAAGTAAGCAGGGGTAGCTGCGAGAAACAAGAAGGGAGTGTACAGAGGATTGCGAGCAGGGGCGGAGCTAAAATCGCACTTTTTTCTAAGTATCAAGTCAGTTAACATCCAGACGTATAAATAACGTTACAAGTACTGAAAGTCGCATAACAAAGATTCTGACCTGGTTATTTGCTATCCTCCTCCATCTCCTCCTCCTCTTCTTCTTCCATCTTCATCACTAATCATCTCTATAGTCATACTATTTTATCATTAATAATAACACAAAAACGCAAAAAATAAAAAAAAAAAATGAGAGATGAACTAGCCGATAAGAAATCATTGTTTGTGACAGGTTAGTCATACACCAATTAGCTTTACATTTGTGAAGGATAAAAAAAAATCTTGCCACTCATATGTATTTTTGCATTATGTTTACTCATAATAAAGAAGAGAAAATTCTTAGGTTTCTTCAAGTCAAATTATGAGCGAATTTAAGTACTACAATCCTGAAAAAGATTACATCACATCGCCCTTTCAGCGCTCATGAAGTATATAGAACCAATGAGATAAGTGAACACGCAAACTTAGTGGTACTTACATAAATGTGTTCTTTATGTTTAGTTATGGCTTTGTACTGTTAGCTTAAGATTTCTTCTATCACTGTGGATGGAGTTTTATCTCTAAGCTGACTTCAATTGGTCTGTGATTTGATAGGATATGGAATTGAAAACATTAAAGTTAGCTGATTTCGTGTGATTTTATTTATTTCATAAATCAAATAGACATGCATATCATTGAATTTTTTGCCACAATTACGGTGAATGTCTGTATGCCTTACAATATTTCCTATTCACATGAGATATTTAGATTACGTGTCTCATGCTATACATAGAGACTTTAACATAAAACAATGCCATCTAGTGGAATTTTAAGCATTTTTGAAGTTCGTATAAAGTTTTCTTACACATTATTTATCTTCAAGTTGTCCACCATGAGCTACATTGGACTAACCTACTTCCCTAATAAGCAAACTACCCATGTGTATATACAGTTTAATTTTGTTGTTCCTATTTATCCACGTTTCTACTTCAGATGCGTATATTCCAATGCAAAATCACTAAAAGAAACTTTCACTTAATCAATTTGAATTTTGTTTTTCTGTTATTTTTCCGCATTTTTTTTTTTTTTTTTTTTTTACCCAAGAAGTATTCTAAAATCTTTGCATAATCTATGTAACGTTTGGGTGATCGTTTGAGCCATCTACTTATCAGATGCATCCACAGGACTAAAAGCAGTCTGGTTTGACCGTCTTTCCTTTATGAAATCTGCATCACATATTTTCCCCGTAATCTGCAGTTTCCAGACCTAACTCGCTGGGAAAAATGTTAAATAGAATTGTCTGCCTTTCCAGACCTAACTCACTGTATATTAAATATTAAATAGAATTGTCTGCCTTCTTGGAGTCTTCATACTCAACGTGGTGTGTATCGGTGTTCAGAATATTGGCTCCAAATGGATATTTATCACATGATGTGCTCATGACCTAGAATCATTCGTAAACAGGGTGAATAAAATGTCCCTCTATCACTGGAGCTCTTTAGAAATTATCACCAAGGTACTTTACAGAACTTATTATTTTGTCCGATTAATTTGCAGGTCATTCCATATTCTATTTTTAGTTTATTGTCTATTTTCCTTTTACAAATATCTGACATGTTATTTCTCTTTTGTCTGCATATGAATCCTTGAAATGAGCTACAAATTTCAAAGGGTTAAACCTGTGGTGTCTCGAGTGGGCAGTGACATCATAAAGTTCCTTTGCAGTGACAAGGGTGCCTATCCGGCTCAAAGTGTAATCAAGACCTCGTCTTTTTATTCAAACATCATTCTCACACGGGCCTGGGAATCCTTAATAGTCGGGGGGAGGGGTGGTGGTGGAAATAGTATGATCTGAGCCATGGTTGAAATCACTTCTATTTCTTGATGTCCACCAAACCTTTCCTCGTCGAAGTCCATTTTGGTAGAAGGGTAATCATACAGTTGCAATTTTTAATGCATACCTACATCAAGCAAGAACAGAAATGGGATTCGTGTTCGGTCGGTTCCTCTGGCAGCATAACTACATGATGACTGTAAAATTCAAATCCACTAGAAGGCGGGGTCTGTAGAAAGCAAATTGATATGGCCTTGGTTATCCTAAACCTTGAACCGGCTTATCCTTGCTGAATATATATATGCACCTACGTGATACAGTGCGAAAACATATGCCAAGGCTATGTAAATTGGGTAATTGCCTCTCCCTATAATTACTGAGAACCTCGGCTGTTACCCCGGCAAAAAATATCAATAACTCTATTTCACTATCGCCTTATCTTTCTCTCTCCCACTCTTCTTCCTTCTTCCTCTGTCCCCCTCTCACCCTCTCTACCCGCACT